TTCCTCAGACTCTTGGTCGGAGTGCATTCTCACTAGAATGGAAATCACATTCCCTCCTGGGGTAAAGATGATCTCCTGTTGGATATTTGTGAATTAAGAGTCTTGCCATGTGGTCATTTAGAGAAGAAAGAAAAACCTTTGTCCTGTAGAAGGAGAGAGGGGAAGATGAATATTTTCTGCAAAAATCTTTAGTTTGTGTCCATGTCTTCACAGAGAAAGCTGTAATCAGATACTGATGAAAAATGTCATCAGCACCTGCACATGCAGGATTAGGATGAGGCATGCAAGCCACCAGCAGGAGCAGGTGGGCCATGTGGCAACAAAAGCCCTAGTTGGACCTAAACATACACACAAACAAGGTTTTTCTCTTTAAGCCTGTGTGGTTTTCTTTGTTTTTTGTTTTTGTTTCTGTTTTTTCTGCTCCAGTGTTAGTTTTTCTTTTGGTATGGTGGGTTTTCCAGGCAGCCCATCTGGTGAAGCAAAGGGATAAGTGAAAAAAGATGGCTATAGCCTCAGAACCCTGTGTTCAGGTTCAGATTCAGTTCATTATTGCCACGGATGCATTGCCTAAATCCTCCAAATCTCAATTTCCACATTATCAAAACAAATGTAGTAATTTTGCTCTTTGGACAGAAAAATCCCTTTGAAAGTACATTAAATAAGATACTTGAAAGTGATTTGAAAGCTCTTAAACCATACAAAGTCGTGCAATAGGAAAACCGCACAAGTACAAAACATTAGAAAAGGAGGAGCAAGTTACTATCACTGTCACTGGGGATGCGTCCCCATTCCCAGGCTCCCTGTGTGGCTTCCCACTGAGACAGAAACTCCTGACGCTCCCTTTTTCCCTTATCATGACCAGAGCAGGGTGTGGTTTAACTGATAAATGTCCTCTTCTCTCCCTCTCTTCCTTCACTGCCCCTTCATTGATGGACTGGGACAGCTTGCCTCAGTGTGCATCCAGGTTATTTTGCACCAATCTCTGGGTCTCTCTGACAGGAGGTGCATCTCAGCTGCCAGGACATAGTATCTGTCTCCCACTCCTGCCACTCCAGAGATGGCTGTTGGCTCTGAGGAATCAATGAAGAAACTGCCTCTATGGTTGCAGAGATCACGGAGGGAGCTGAGACAATTATTAAGATCTCCAATCTCTAAAAAGCTATGATTAACACAGCTAAACCTCCTGAAGAGTCCCTGGTTTTAGCCTTACCATTTTTTCAGAGACACAATAGCTGTCAATCAAATAGCTGCTGAACAGCCACTGGATAACTGTGACTGTCCTGGTAGCCCTGCAATCCCATCTAGGGAGGTGTCTTCCCTTACTACAGTAGGCTTGAATTTGAACTAAGCAGCAGAATTTAATTTGTACCCATAAGTGGGTTGGATCAGCAGGTTTGAGTTTTTACCCGATTGGACCAATCACCAAGCTCAAATTTGAAGCCATCACTGGCCTGTGGTTGCTATACAAGCAGCACTCCCATCACACTTCTCAGGATGACTAGGACAGTGGTGGCAAACCTATGGCATGCGCGTCACAGCAGGCTGTTACTGAAAGCTCTACAAGGTTTACCGTCACTGCACTAGGAGGTTTCCCTCTCCTGTAGTGAGTCCTCCACCCATGCTGCAGGTCAGGCCCTTTTAAAATAAAGCCTCACTTCAATGATGGGGTTTGACAGAGAGCTGGCAGGGTTGACTAATGGTGTCTGCCATTAAATGGTGTTGACCAGTGGCATCAGGGCCCAGAGGTGTAGCAGGTTGAGTTGGTTTTCAGAGCCCAGAGCCACTAGCAGAGCTCCACGTTGCCAGTTCATTAGAGAACAGAGATGGCGATATTCTTCCCATAGTCTCATTGAGTGCTGCAAAGTCTGGCTTCTTCCTCCTCCTAATGTCCTTTGCTCTTGATCTAGAGCTGCTCTCCACCCTGTACCTTTTTAACAGTTACCACTTCCTTAGTTTATCCACCAATGACAGCCTGACTAGGTCAAATTTCTCCTATTCTGTGATCTTATAGAACACGTAACTTTCCTAATTTGTAAAGTTTGTCATAGTTACAATTTATTTGCGTGATTGTACATTCAGATCTGCCCCCACTATTTGCCTTAATGAGGAACGGCAAAAATTTGGTCTTGTTCACCATTTCATCCTTGGTTCCCAGCACAGATTCTTGTACATAGCAGGGGCTCAGTATATATTTGTTAAATGAGAGACTAAATGATCAGATGGGGAATAATGGTTTCTTTTTACAGATACTGTAGGCACAAGAAACTGCTTGGCTATTCCAGCCTTAACCCTCATTGGAACTTGGCTCAAAGAACATTGAAACTGTTGAGGAATGGCCAAAAAAACTTGCTTTGGAAGCAGTTTTCTACTTAACAGAGAGCGCCAGATAAACCTTGATTCAGACTGCCCCTTTGTACTTAGGCATGCATTTCCCTAGGAGTATTCTGGTTTGTTTGTATCAAGTGGATATATGCTAATGAATAAACATAAAATGAAAAGGAACTTGCTGGAGAAACTATAAATCCCAAGGAATTTGTTGAAGATGGAATAGTACCTGAGCAGAAAGTGGTACTTTTCACTGGGAGGTCAGTGCCTCAGAGTGGGCAGAGACAAAAACCCTTCTAGCTAGCTACTATTTATTGGGTACACACAATAACTGGAGGGAGCATCCAGGTGACTTAGTGGGCAGCAGTAATTCTGTGTTGATGAGGATCCTATGTTGATGAGGGCAGTAAGGAGTAAGCCGTTCTTACAATAGTAGGTGGGATGAGATTGCAGGCTAATAAGGAATCTGTCCTTCCCCAAGGTCAAACTTTTCTCTCTTTTTTTATTACTACTCGGTGGTTCTCAAAGAACCGAGATGACTTCTGCTGATGTACTCTTCTCCTTGAGCAGCACAGTATCACCACACCATTGAGGTCTCAACTTGTGACAGGAAGCAAAATAGAGTTCTGTTTCCGCATGCCATGGCCAGCTCTTGGGCAAGGTGACCTTGGGCCTTAGATGGTTATAGTCATACTTTAATTATGAAATTATTTTTCCCCCAAAATTATGTAGCATGGCTCCCAATACCTTTGCCTAGCAAAGCTAAACACCTCCTCAGTTCTTTGAGGACTCCAGCGTAACTCTGAGCCTGGAGAAGTGGCCTATTTGAAGACCCCGGGCACCGCTGTGCTGTGGGAATTGTTATCAGGGTCAGTGGTGATGCTTCTTCAACTGGTTATAGGAGTGGGGACAGGAGGTATGAGGGGAGCAGGGGTGTATGCAGTGTGATCACAGTGGAATTGCGGAAATTCCTGAGGAAGCCCTGGGTGGGTAGTTAGGCAGAGAGCCTATTGGTGCATGTAGGGAAAGCAAAGATGTTAATTTGACAGAAGGGGCTGCATTTGTAGCCACAGTTTGGGCAGGTCAGTTAACATTCAGGTTAAAGTTTAAGGGGTGCTTTTGAGGGTTTCTGTGCTGCGATTACAGGTGTGTGCACCATGCCCAGCTGAGACTTTAGGGGGTTTGTAATGTGGTTTCACACATGGTAAAAACATTTCTGAAGACTCGATCATTCTTGGGTAGTGATGGGCACAGCTGCCCTGAGATAATCAGATTGTCCCAGAGTGCCTGAGACTGGTAAATTACAGTAATGGGAATACTAAGTCCTGGGCAAATCATAAGGGTTGGTCACCTTAACACTTACTCTGTTACTTTACCTTCAGTGAGAAGACAGCAGATCACACATAACCTCGTAACATAGCAGTAGTAAGAACAGGTCTTCCCTTTGGGATACTAAGAAACTACAAAACAGCAAAGGTCAATTCAGAGGCTGCTTTTTATTTTTTCTTTCAGTTCTGGAGATTGAATGCAGGGCCTTCACACTGAGCTATACCCCTTAAGGGGCCACTGGCAGATGTGTGAAAGCCTAGGCGTCTAAGGATAGAAAGTCGTTTAGCACAAGTGCATGACTGACTTTGTTACAATAAGTTAGCATGGACGACCACATGGCTATGCAAGGTTGCACGGCTGTGTGGCCTAAGTGTGCCTAAGAAAAGCTGATAAAAAAGGACTCACAGCTCTCAAACTCTGCAGCTGCATTTCCAACTCTCACGCTCTGATGCTGCCCTTATGTTGTAAAATTAAAGTTTGGTTCCTGCTTTCTGGTGATGTCTGTTCCATGTATGTTCTTTTCTTTAGGAATCTCACCTGACTGGACACCCTTTCAGCCTGCCAGCCCCAACAACCCTTAGCTCTTTTTGATTTGTTTGTATTTTTATTTTGAGACAGGGTCTTGCTTAATCCCCAAGTTGCCCTGGCAAAGCTCAAACTTACTATTTCTGCCTCAGCCTCCCAGAGTGCTGGGATTACAGGTGTGCCCTGCTAAACCTGGCTAGAGCCTCTGTTTCAAACCACATGTGCGACTGAAAAATGGATTACAGGAAGCTCTCTGCCCTGAGGTGCTATTCTGGGTCAGAACCTCATTTTCTTTTGCTGAGGCACCTTCACCAGCTCTTCTGGCTACACGTAACACAGTGCCTCTTAACACTAGATTTTCTCCGATGGACCCAACTTTGTTAAGTGTTTTTCTTATATATGGCACAAAGATCAAAGATATAATACTCTGAAGTTGAAAGCATTTGTATATAAATAAAATCACAAATGGGATAAACATGTTTGGGCATAGTGGTGCATTTCTGCAATCCCAGGCTAAAGTAGGAGGATCCCTGCAAGTTTGAGGCAAGCATGGGCTACATAGCAAGTTCAAGGCCAGCCTGAATGACAAAGTGAGAGCCTGTTTCAAAGCAAACAAATAAACATGTTTGTTAGACACTGTGTCCTGACTTTGCATTCTGAAGTGAAGGTCACTTTCTCATCAAGATAATTAAATCCTTGAGAAATGGAACCGCGACTGCTCTCCCCAAAATGATGCAATCAAATAGAGATTGATAAAGGACAAGAAAGAGAATTCTACTGGCATTCCTTTAATCGCAGTGATTCCTTGGCAGAAGCCCTTCCTACACATCCAGGTTTACAGGTTTTTGCATGAGGTGGGAGGCGTCATTTGATTCCTCCGCTGGAGCCCAGGATGGTGAGGCTGTGGAATCAGCCATCCGGGGAGAAGGCCCGTTTTCTTTTCCCAGGCAGGTAGAAACAATAAGGAGCAGTCCACCAACAGCCAGGAAAAGACCAGCAGCCCAGCCCAGAAAAAGGGCGTCTCCAAACTCCCACCGTGGTACAATCTCAGGGATTCCGTCGTCCCAGAACTCCTGGACTATGGCATGAGCCACCGAGGAGACTGGAAAGAGGGTAGTGGTTGAAGCTAATGTCTCCAAAGTTCCTCCCAGGAGGCAAAGGCGTCTCTTGAGTACCTTCGTGGTCTTGTGAAACTGGCAACATTCAGATCCACAGACAGACAACAGAAGCCCCAATAATCCCAGGCCTTGGGAAACTAACATCAATACGCGTGCTACCTGTAGCTCCCGGGGAAGAGACAAGAAGGAGTTGAAGGTCTTGCACACAACGCCAACTTCCTCACGATTTATGCAGGCCTCCCAAAGCCCCATCATCCAGGTATCCATTTCATTCAATTCCGTATTGAAAGTCTTCCACTGGGGCAGGACAATGGTGACACAGGAGCAGACCCAACCAAGGAGAGAGAGGAACAGTCCTGCAAGCTGTAGTTTCCCACGGAAACTCCAGGCCATAGTTGCTCTGGCCTCAGAGGGAGAAGAATAAAGAGGACAAGTGACTCAGGGAATGGTTAGCAGGGACTACTTTTCTGGAGGCGGGGTTGGAAGCCTTTCACGTGTAGAGAGGATGTCTGCCTTAGTTTTCTGGGCAGCAGCTGAGGCAGGTGTCAGGAATTTGACAATATTTAGGTTTAGGAAGTGTATTCAAGATTGGACGTGGGGGTGGATTCTGGAAGAAGGTCCCATGAGAGGCAAAAAGGCATCTGGTAAGTCATCAATATGTATTTGGTAAATACATTCATAGAGTTAAAATCACTCCCCAGCTCTGAGATCACAAGGATAATGCTCTGAGAACACAACATTGATATAATCTTTCTGGAGGGCAGTATGACTTCATGTTCAGAGTCTTGCAGACTCTGATGCAACACCTTGTCTCCAGGAATTTATTTTTTTGTGAATAGTAGTTTTCAAAGACTTATAAATTGTCCATTAAAATGTTTTTAATAATTGTAAATATTGCTTAATATTGGGTAGTATTTTGAGGTGACGTAAAAGAAATTGTGATGACATGAAAAATGTTTTTGATATAGTGTTATGTGAGAAAATTCACAGGAACTTGGGGATTGGCCTGGGCTGGGAGATGATCTGTGTTGTGTTGGTGTCTCAGTTCTTGGATCCTCCCTACCTCTGTGCTCTGCCTAGAATAAAATGATAATCAGCCACCATTTCTTCATGATGCCCAATCTCAGTTCAGCTTGACCTTTAAGTCCCTGATAGAAAATATGGGATCTTTTCTGGCTCTGCCAGGAGAGGTCCAGGGCATTGACCCTGGCCCCATTTCAATGGAACAGACCCCGAAGTATGGGCTGAAGGAGTCCTCAAAAGGGCACTTACTGCTAGTCCCATCATAATCCAGCTCAAAGACCCAACCCACGTTTCTAATCAGAGACACTAACTATACTATGAAGCCAGGAGCCAAAACAGGTCTTCAGTCTCTAATCTCCAAGTTTCTGGACCATCAAATTCTCAGGCCCTGTAATTCCCCCTATAAAGTATCCATTTGAGCTATCGAAAAGGTAGTAGAGAATACCAATTAGTATAGGATAGTGATGGCAAACCTTTTAGAGATCAAGTGCCCAAAGTGCAACCCCTAACCCATTTATTTATCACCAAGTGCCACTGTTAAACCTGAATAATGAGGTTTTAGTTTAGAAAAAAAAACAAAAAAACAAAAACAAACCCAACTGTTAAAAAAAAAAAAAGAAAAGAAAAAAGAAAAAAACTGTTATCCAGTGCTCCACTGCTGAAGTGACTTGGCTTGTGGGCTGACAGAGAAGGCTCTGTGTGCTCAATGTGGCACATGTGCCATAGTTTTGCCACCACTGGTGTTGATCCTTAGGACAATAAATGAGGCTGTGATTCCCATTCATTCTGTAGTGCCTGATCACTATACCTTATAGGAGAAAACCCTCCACATAGCAGTTGCCATTTCTGGCCTTGCCAGCCCTCCCTTCTTGAGGGTGTACTTTCATTACTGGAAGTTGCCACCTGTAGGCTCTGCCACTTGGATCTTTCCCCAGTGTACTACGTTTCCAACAAAGCTACTCACTTGTTACTCCACAAAGTGCATATCAAAATTCTATTTCTGATATAAGTAAGTTCCCTTCTTCTAAGGGGAGGATCCAAGAACTAAGAATCGTCACATAATACAGATCCAGCCCAGGCTAATCCCAAACTCCAAGGGTAATCAAATTCTTCTATATATAGTATATGGGCCAGGGATTTAGCTCAGTGGCACCACACCTGCCTCGCAAGTGCAAAGTCCTGAGTTCCATCCCTGGTACCAAAACAACAACAACAACAACAACCCAAAAATATAGTCTATGGGATGCAATTTTATTTTCATAAAAAGTGTTATTTTCATATAAAATGTTAACCATGGTTATACTGATGACAAGACTATGAGTAGCTTTCACCTTTTTATTTGTGCTTATTTATATAGTTTATAAATTTAGAATTTAATAATTTTATAAGCAAGAAATGCCACACATAATAACTTTTTTAAAAGCCAGGTGTGAGGGGAACCAAGGAACAGATCTGGTTAGGAGTTGGTATTTTGATCTCAGTGGCAACAGGACAAGTGGGCAGGTCTCTTCCTTCCTATGGGGGCACAGTGAGGACCCTGCTGCTGCTTTTAGGACAACTACACATGGTAATAAACATGATGGCAAAATACTATGCCAACTTGGAGATGCTTTCCACTTCCACTGTATGGGCCCAGAATGGATGTTTGGTAGTTTGCTTTCAGAATACTGCTGTGCCACTTACGTATCAACCTTTAAAGGTCAGACGTTGCTTCTGATTTGTTTGCATCTTCCTGATGGTTTGTGAAAATTTGTGAACAGAGAGACATAGAAACTATGCTAAAGGTGAACTAAGAAAAAAGTCAGGTTCCTAAGGGACAACAAAACCCATTAATTTATTGATTTTTTTTTTACTTATTCAGGCATTCATTTCTTGATGCATTGACTGTGCATAGTAGACATGGTCTATTCTGTATGTTTTTTTTTTCATTCACCTTCTTTAGCCATATTCTGGCTCTTCCTTGTCTTTTCCTTGGATCCTAAGGAACAATCTTCACCTCTTCAAGTGGCTGCTGCTCTGCCTAAGAGTAGGAAAAAGCAGTTGTGTTTGTGGGTACATATGGACTGGTTTCCTGGAGGAAGATCTCAGGACCTCAACTTCAAAGTAGTACTGAAGTAGGAGATTAAGGCATGGCAAACTGACTGGGAAAGTTGGTGTCAATCACAGAGATTCGGGAGACCCATACCCAATCCCTATACCTGAATCAATCTTCAGTTGTGAGGAAGTGCAATATTGATTGTGCCCAAAGCAGGCAGTAAGCAGGGCAGGGTGTAAAATTAACCCCACAATTGGCTTGTTTATAGAAGTGAGTCTGGCTGAAGCCTATGTGCTGAGGTCAGAGTAACCTGCACCTAAATTTCCGTTCCCACAATTAAAACCTTCTTAACTAGAAGGACAGTGTTCTGATTACAACCATATATTTTGTCTGTTCTGTTCCTAATTTGAGAATGCTTTGTCTTTTTCCTTTACAAGCCTTGCCTCCATTAGTATCCATACAAATTACGCAATTACATATCCTCACAGGTGGTCCCACCCTTGCACATAGCTTCCCTTTACCCCAATTGATTACTAATAAAAATGAGTGGCTCAAACTGATGAATGCCTTTTGCTAATTAAGCAGCATTGGCCATCCTGGATTTCCAGTTTCTCTGTCTCTTTTAGTTCTTTTATTCCTGTTCTCAGCCTTGTGTTGCATACTGAGCAGGAGACTGGAGCCTACTGCCAAGGTTTCCAGCATTCAGTTCTTTTCATGAGAACTCAAGCACGTTTTCAAGACCTGATCTCAGCCTGAGGAGTGGGAAATACAAAAGATAGTGGCCATTAACCATCTGTGGCAGTTGTGAGGCTTTTCCTGCTCTCGCTCGCTGGAGCATGCTTCTATTCCTACTTTTAACTGGCCTTCACCTATTCTGCAGAATGTGTTTCTTTTCCTACCTTTAATAAATGTAAAAGATTGCTACCTTAGGTGCTTGTTTTGTCTAGTTCTTTGTTCAGGATAAGAAGAACCTAGAAAACATCTCTAGGAGACCCCAGAACCCTGGAACCTGGTAACATTTTGGTGAAGCTAGCCAGGAGGAGGTGAGGCCCTTTGGACAGTTTTGTTTCTATGGACTCAAGCCAAGAAGGAGTGGCTTAGATTTTGTTCTTTCCCTTTCTCTTTCCTCTAGGAGAACCTCAGTCCTCTTCTTGTCCATTCCGTCCCAGGACAGGATTATATGTGTTGGAGGGCTCAAATCTTTTATCTTTTTTCTAATGTTGGTTGTAAGGGGGAAGCAGGGAGGTAGAGGGTTGTAAAAATTAATGGAAGCTGGTGAACAAAGGGAAGTTGTTTCATGGCTTGAGGGACAGTTTCCTACTGTGTCCCATCATGTGAAAGCGGGGAGGGGAAGCACATGGCCTCTGTGCTTTTTCCTTCTGGCAAGAGAGGACCACAGGTATACCTCAGTTTATCATTCCTTTTCTTCCTTCTGTTTCTCATTTTGGTTGCTCATTGTGGGTGCAAGTCACTTACGAGCTACCTGAGAGCCTGTTAACCCAGTGCAGAATAGATTGTTCAGGTTTCATGTGTACAACCTTGTGCTTAGTATGCTTTTTTTGCCCTCATGTTTTTGTTTTCCCTGATACTATGTTCACTCTTTTGAGAACCTGATTGTGCTCAACGTCTGATTTGTGCTTTTCCCCTTGATGGCCTTTTATCTCTGAATATCCTTAGTGAGTCACTTACTTGGGGCCTTTTTTTTTCATCCTAGTCCTCCCTGCTGCCATATTTGGTCATTCTGGTTCCTAATGTTAGTCACATGTTTCTGTTATGTTTGGCGGGCATTTTGTTTCATCATGCGAGTCAGTTACATGGATGGCTCTGCCATGTTTCTCAGCTATTTTGGTTGGTTGCATGGGTTGGTCATATGGTTGCCTCATGTTGTTTGCCATTTTCTTTTTTTGAACTGAAATCATGGACAAAACGAAATCTCACTCTTATAGATAAGAGCTAAAGCTTCAACTTTTAGGGATGATACGGGCCTCCTCCCCACTTCTTTTCTGAATTGGGTTAGATCCCTTCTCTTTCTCTTTTTTTTCTAACAGAAATTCAAGTAGTTTAGAAACATATATTTGGGTCCCTGAGCAGAACAAAGGAACAGCCAGTAAAAGTCAACTCAAGAGGCTATGAGTATGCAAAAGTCGTGCTAACCTTATACTTAGAACTTTTTTTTGGGGGGGGTACCAGGGATTGAACTTGGGTCCTTGTGCTTGCAAGGCAGGCAGAGGCACCACTGAGCTAAATCACTAGCACTGTATTTATAACTTTTAAAGGGTTTTTTTCCCCCTCTTAAATGCTAAAAAGAGGCCTCTATCTTTACTGCCTTAAAAAA